TGTCATTAGTGAGAATATTGAGATTTAAAGACTATACCTAAGTAACGCAGAGTTTTTATTGCATAGTAAAGTATTTTAGACTCATTGATATGCTTTTCAAAATTATTTTGCAAAGTTTAACATTGTGTGGGGTCAATTCTTAGTATTCTGTTTACACTTCTCCACTTCCCAAGGAAATGGTACACATGAAAAACACTGGACCTGTGTTTAATAAAATATATTTTCATTTCTAGGGTGGAAAATGGCTATTTTGGTTATTCTATGAATGGTGCATTGGTTAAACAGAGCTCTTACTCTGAATGCCAGGACCAAAATTAAGTTATATTGAGATGGGTGTAAGAGGAAAGTGTTTTCATAACTGCTAGCTTTCTCAGAACAGCCTCTAGTGCATAAAGCCCATTTCCTTAAAAAGAAACCTTTAAGGTAAAGTAAGTAAGTGTCTTATACTGCTGGTGGGTCAAGTACTGGGATAGTTCTTGGAACTGAGTAGTAGCCTTGGGGTTGGGTCAGGAGCTAAAATGATGGTGAAGGAGGGGTTAAGTGGGAGTCAGACCAAAGACTAGGCAGAATGGCTGAAGTCAGCATGGTGAAAGCCTGTAGTCCTCAAAAGCCATGATATTAAATTCGTCAGTGAATGTCTCTCAGGAAATCAGAAGTCACTTTTCCAGTCAAATTCTTTCTTATACATGGTAAGAACTAAAATTCCAGGTGAAATTACTCTAGACTCAGTGTGATCCTTGTGATAGTTCAGGTCACCTTAAGGTGTTACTTTAATGCTTGAGTTCCCACAGGCCCAATAAACAAATCTCTTAGGAACTGGGTATAGAAGGATACTAGATTTCTAAGTATATACTGATGTCTGTGTGTCTTTGATTGGAGTTTTCCAAAAAAGAGACTCTGGGTCAGAGATATACGTGAAGAAGATTTCTTGCAAAGTGCTTTTGCAATCATAAGGGAATGAAGAAAGCACCATTGGACAGAGGGAAAAATTGCACTGTGTTGTGGTTGGAACGGTGACTTCATCTGAACACAATAGAAACTCTGAAGCTGGAATTATCCTTCAGATCATCCTGAATTGAGACAAGGGCGTAGACCTGTAGATGAGAGATACTGGGGGAGAAGCGATGCTAGAAGAGCTTGAGTCACCAGCTATAAGTCATTAGAATCCAGCAATACTCTAATGTTTCTGGGGGAATGAGTGCCTTGATCTGGAAATATAATATAGGTGTCACTTCACAGTATCCATTATAATGTGGCACACAGAGCTAAGTTATTTGAACACATTAGTGCAGAACTGATTGTAAAGGCAAAAGAACTTCAATATTAATTGGCTCCTTTCAATTGGACACAATCTTAGTGGTTTCCAAAGTAGGGTAAGCATTCTTGAGAGAGTGTACAAGATGATCCACTGAATTACAAAAAGTAAA